TTATGGGCTCTCTCTCGAGCCCAACCAGCAGCCGCACAGCGGCGCATGATATAGGCAGTATGTTATTACCAACAAAGACAAGGGAGACCGGGATGGCCATTTCTGGCTTATTAGCCGTCATCAGCCAGTCATACCCAAGCCCGAAGTGTGCAACACCCCCGGCTCGAGAGAGATAGAGCCCGTAAGGCACAACGGAACGAGTAAGTTCCGTAAGAACGATCGGTGAGCGCCCCCTTCCATGGTATATTCCCGATCGAAACCGACAGGGCAACGGGCTCGTGGCCCAGCGGTTAGAGGTGTGGACTTTAACTAACAGGTCGCGAGTTCGAGCTTCGGGTGTTCCACACTTCGAGGTTAGGTATGACTGGCTGACAACGGCTAATAAGCCAGAAATGGCCATCCCAGTCTGCCTTGTCTTTGTCGGTAATAACATAGTGCCTAGAGAAAACTATTTGTGCAGTTGTCTGCTTCTGTATCAGATTTCCCAAGGCAACGAAGAACGTCCGTGATGAAATGTCTTCATGCAATTGTCTGTGTGGGGACTGTCGTGGAACCGCAGCCCCCAAAACAAGCTGTACCGTGGTGTTCGACCAAAACGGGTGTCACATGTTAGGCATGATCTGTCGATGTCAGTCGCTGTGTCCGATCTCACCTCCACTTGGCATGACTCAGACATGCCACAGGTACGAGCTAGGAGAGGGAATAAACTGTGTAGCTTAAAAAGTAATCCCCACTTTCCAGCTTACCTGCTCGTTTCCGGTGTCATATGACGTTTAAGAGGACTGGAAGATTTACAAGGAAATATTTACAGAGTTCTTTGAATTATTTTAAGGAATTCACCGTCTGTAACTACCAAACCCTTCCTCGTCCCAATTAAGGGAAAGTCTGGGCGACTGAATGACGTAAACATACAGTGTTGCTAGGTCAGCAGTAGTACTGGGACACAGGACGTAGTAATCTGTCCGCCTGTCTGGCGGTTTCTGTATCGCCGGCTAACCGCGCGTACCAGACGCTGGCAAACAAGCAACGGCCTTAGGAAGCAGAGCATGAATTTGACCTCTCCGACGTAGAAATGATGCCGCAAGTCTGAGGGTTGCCTGAGCAAGTTGCTAAACCAGCATATCGATCTCTGGCTCCCTCCTGTCACGTGTTGTGAACTCACTACCAAATGACGCGACCGCGTCCTCAGCCAAGGACGCACGTGGTTGGCACCCCACTCGTTTGGTGCACTTCTCATTATTTCTGATGGCGAACTCCCACATGAGTCTGTGGGCTCAGATAAATATGCTGACGGTTGCAGTGATCGACCTGCATGCTTCCTTTCAAAAAGAACTCGAAATTTGCATCTTCCCCTCTGGCAGCAGTCTCGTCCACGAAGAGCGCACTCCATTGAAATAACTTGTATGGGACACCACTGGAGGGTATAAGTAAGCAAGTCTATAAAGTTCCTTTGCGTTTGTTATGATATGTAATTCTGCGCGCTTTGGGAAAATTTTGCGGCACAAGCTACTAGGACTAAAATGGAGGAACTTTCAGAGATTTTCACTTCATCTACTTTATAATGGCCTGTATCACAGGGAAGTTCGGGACTAAGCAACGGTTGCTGCCCTTTTGCAAATATTTCACCAAAACACAAAATCCATAATTTCCTTCAGAACAAACTGTGTGTTCTGTCTATAATCCCAAGGAATCTTCATAGGAGCGTCTTCTGCGGGAACCGTGGTTGAAACACACTAATGCAACAGAGAGTTCAGTACAGAGTAATAATCAGACGGCCAACGGTCGTATCCAGATCAGCGCGAGGAAGTGAACAGTGGACATACTTAACGCGATTCGTTACAGCAACTTTTATTGGATGACTTCAGGGGGCGTGAACAAGAGAAGAAGATACCCTCCGGACTCTATTCGACATGATCCGGAATCAACAGTGTCAGTTGAACGGTCAAACTGTCGAAAAAGTGTGGACACAAGTCCAAAACAGTGCCTAAAGGTATACAGTAAACGGAACAGTACAGTCAGTTCACGCACTTCCGGAAGAGGTAACGTAGTGCGTGGTCGTGGGTTCAAGAAATTGCTCAGTCCAAACGCTCGGTCTCAAATTTATGCTCAACAGTTTCTCGAACTGGAATAGAGCCCGATTTTAAAGTTTCGGTTTTAACAATTTGTGATGAAGATGCAGTGATGTTCACACCGGAGTCTTGGTGGCACAGGACTTTTGAGGATGCAGTGGGCAATCGTGTCCGACCCGGTTTAAGGCCATCAACTAATGCAAAGGTTCAGTATAGTAATCCTTCGCTATATCGCGCTTCGACTTTCACGATCTTACTCTATTATGGGCTTTATATGTAAGCACATCTAAATATATATTGCGGATTTCGACGGACAATGAACCCCTTTATGTCCAGTACATGCTTTCCTAGTTGATTTGTCTAGTTAGTTTCATTCAAGGGGACGTTATTGGGGAATGGCTGAGAAGTCGTGATACATATATTTGTGCATAATGCATAAGCCATGTGTTTACATGCAGAACTTAAACTAATCAGACCTAATATTTAAGATAATAAAAAGAGTTTATGCTGTATAACTGTGCGAGAAATTTTTATAAGAATGTGGGAGAGCTTATAAGGGCTTAAAGTACAACAGGCATCGACAAAAACATATGGTTTATACTTTTCACAGAGGTCTTTGGGACGTGACCCCGTGATCGAGGAGTGATCACTGTACAGGCCACACAAACACCGCCTCATGGATGACACTTAATTCCCACTAGACCTCAGGCTTCAACCTCTTCCGCTGTGGCAGTGCGGCAGAAAACCGTGGCACACAGGGCAAAAGTCTCCGAGAAGGAGGGACATTTTTTAGTTCTATCAGCGCAAATACCCCTAAATGCAACCGCAAACCGAGTGAACGGAAGCGAAAGGGGGTGTGGGATAGAAATAGCCCCTCTTTCCGTTATGGGCATTGTTTGGTGAGATGTCAAGCCGCACAGTGAAACTAAATGCTCTACTTCAGATCTGATTTCTTCGCACATTTAGCTTTGATCAGAAAAGGCGAAAAGATTTGCACCGAGGTGTCAAAACTGAAAAATAGCCGTCAAATGACTCACGCAATATCCACCTCATTTTCGTTGTCTGGGTCCAACTCTTGGAGTAGTTGTCTAAGTTCATCAGGCTTAATACCAACCTGAAGAGTCTGCCATGTGAAATGGAAAAAAGAGGAGTACGGTCAGTTAGTAGGACGCAGAAGACATAGCAGGCATCACGTGTGGGGGACAATGGAGAATGGATTGACCACTCAAAGCTCTATATTTTTTATCCGTTCTGATCCCTGTCCAGAGAGGGGATGTCTCCAGGCCTCCAATCAAAGTCCCTATATCTCTGCGCCAGTAAAGAGGTCAATTTAAAGCAACTTCTGCATTCAAACGTGAGGTCCCACCAGTTTGACCTAGTAACAGGACTGGATGTGCGAGTTAAGTTTTGCGCCGTGACCGACTGTGTGGGCTCAAAAGCAGGACGGCTTCTCGCTCCGTCAGACTGTAAGTGAAAATTCATACAGACATTCAGGGGCGCATATCGGATTTTAAAAAGCATGTAGTTGTGCAGGGAGAAGCTTCCTTTCAGTTGAAGAATGGTAAGAGAATCATAATTTAGCAGAATGCTTGGGCTGATACTGGGGAAAATTACAGCTCCACCTGTTTGTGGAGATAAAGTGATAGTCTGGCTTCACGCAGAAGGTCACGACGCGTTTTACGCATGCACACGTACGACGACAGTTCGGCCGTCGTTGCCGACGATGTTCACCGTGTGCTCCACAACACACTGAGTGCATTGACGGTGGCGCGCGCCCAAGTTAAAGTGATCGTGGACTTGCGCCGCATCTGCCGCACTCTTTCCTCCTCCCCCACCTGGACCCAGTGTGAAGACGGAGTCAGGAACATCGGAGGCGGAGGAGGGCGCAGGTGACTGACACGGCGAAAACCCGCACCTAGAAGTATCACCACACCCCTGGTCCACAACGAACACTAGCTAAGATTTTATACACTAAGAGAAAAATGGGAGGTGGTACGGCCTGAGCTTGTACCTGGGCCAGACGTCACACCCCAAACTTTGGTATTTTTTATGAATGCGCATTCTCGATTAAGCCTGCCGAAACCCGATCCGATTTCTGGGTTGGTCCAACGCATCAATCATATGGTGCATTTTAGGGGCACATGGGAGAAGTATGGGTGAAGAGCTTAGAGGAATGACAGCTGAAGTTGGTGACCTTTAAAAACTGGCAATCGAGCAAAAACACACACTTGGAGGAAGTCACTGGTTGAGAAAACTTAACCTCAAGGATTAAAAGTGCGTCGAAGGTACATAGGGAGGATAGAAAACAACAAAAATCGATGATTCACAGTTAACAATTAAGTGTGACAACGAGGGTCGGTAAAGTGAGAAAAACTGGGGTGCGTTTCATGGTGGGTGCGTCCTTTTGCCTAAGTCATCTAGAACAGATGAACAGAAAGTCTATAAAACCAATGAAAAATTTGCCGAACTCTTCCGAACTTCCCCGATGACACATACTTTGATTGCACGAACAAAGGCGTTGGTTTAGCCAGCGCCACACAAGGAGATCGGAGGGAATCTAGCGTAGGCTAGCTCTCTAGTCGCACCTGGTCAAAGAGTGTAGGTCCTATTTCACAAGACGACGTCGAATGAAGCTTTGTTGGGTAACGGTCCACATCCACCTCGTCGTAATACCGCTTTGGATTGTGGCACTTTTCTGGGCAGCTAACTTGCCAGATCGGCGCCGGGCCACGTTTGAAGGGGGGATATTCATTGCATGGACGGGGATTACTCATTCGTTGCACCCGGAAATTGTTCTATTTGGTACTTGGCTTTCACTGAGAGATGTCCCACTAGCGGCAACCTGAGGATGCACCGGGGTATCCTGCGGCTAGAATAACAGTAGGCCCGTCCCGTTTTCCCGTTTTAAGAATGTCTATTGGAAATATCCTTGTAGATTTTCACCTACTTTTCTAAATATGTTACTGAATCAGTGAGAGTTCTGTCAGAAATATTTTGGTTTAGGGTAGACAGGCGCTGGTCTGCCTTGGTGAGCTACAGTTTGGATCACGATAGAAGCCACTGAAAAGCGATTTAATTAATTGATTTCTACAATTTTGCATTGTCGATCAGTGAAGACGAAAGTAGACTAGCACGAAGGACAAACAAAACATTTATGATGATGACGATGATGATGATGATGATGATGACGACGACGACGACGACGATGATGATGATGATGATGATGATGATGATGATGATGATGATGATGATGATGATGATGATGATGATGATGATGATGATGATGATGATGATGATGATGATGATGATGATGATGATGATGATGATGATGATGCTGATGATGATGATGATGATGATGATGATGATGCTTTGCTGCTGCCAGGGGCTACACCCTGAGCAGGATTGTAAGGGCTAAAGAGGAATTGCTGATACTTAAATGGCAAGCTGATTTCTGTCTCATCGGTATGGCGTTCACTTGGAGCGGTTAAGATAGTGCGTGCGGCATTAGCGTCACAACCACGGACCAAGTTTCATTTGAAAGGGAAATAAGAAGGGAGGC